CATGGTCAAAAACTTGTACCCCCTCCCTCTCATTTCGGATGTCCTCGCACGCCTCCGAAATGCCAAATACTTCTCGGCACTAGATCTGCGCTGGGGATTTAACAACATCCACATCAAAGACGGCGACGAGTGGAAGGTGGCGTTTTCGACCAACCGCGGGCTATTCGAGCCCACCGTCATGTTCTTTGGCCTGTGCAACTCCCCAGCGACCTTCCAAACAATGATGAACGACATCCTCTGGGACTTCATCGACCGGGAGGTCGTCATCTGCTACATGGACGACATTTTGATCTTCACTGCCACCCTGGAGGAGCACTGGAGGGTCGTCCGAGAAGTCCTGGAGACGCTGCGGAAGCGGAGACTCTTCTTAAAACCGGAGAAGTGTAAGTTTGAGTGGAAACGGATCGAGTACCTCGGCCTCATTATCGCCGAGGGAAGCGTCGCGATGGATCCCATGAAAGTCCGTGGAGTTCTCGACTGGCCAACCCCAACCAAGGTCAAAGAAGTACAGTCCTTCTTGGGGTTTGTCAACTTTTACCGCCGGTTTATTAAAGACTTCTCCGAGACCGCCCACCCCCTCCATGCACTGACTCGTAAAACCAAGGCATGGGCCTGGGGACCAGACGAGGACCATGCTTTCTGTGCCCTTAAAGACACCGTCACCTCCGCCCCGGTCCTTGCCTTCCCTGCCGATACAGGTCGTTTCAAACTCGAGTGCATGTCAGGGACTCGTCTGGGGTCGAGGGGGCCCGGGTGTAGCGTCCGGGGCTGAGAGCCTGGCGGGGGGCGGATCGGGCGTGCGTACTGACAGGCCCGATGCAGGACAATGGTCCCTGGCCACTTAGACTGAAGTGGAAAGTTGAGAAGAAGGCTACTTCTTCGGTTCCCACTTCAGGTTTGTTTATATACATGCGGCTTAGATCACATGACGGATGCCACGTCACCCTCGCATGCAGCCGTAACCACCCGGTGTCTCTGTGGGAGATCCCGAGGGCATCCAGTGCAGGCGCGCATACTGGGCACAGTGGGAAGTCGTCCGAGGTGCCCGGTCCGGGTGCATGGTGGGCGCGCGCTGCAGATGGGTCAATGGTACATTGATACAAAGAAAGTCGTCCATGTAGAATAAAGAGAGAAATAAAGAAGAAGTAGGATAAGGAGGAAGTGAGGAGGGGAGGATGAGGAGGGAGGAAGGGAAAGGGGGAGGAGGCAAGGAAGGGTGGGCAGCGGGGCACCGGGTCAGGTTGGGCCGGGTGGAGGCGGGTCAAGCGGGTGTGCCCTGACAGCAGTATGTACGTGGATGTGACACCTGTAACCGTGTCAAATCCTTCCCCTCCCGTAAAGTGGGGAAGCTCATCCCGAACAAGATCCCCACCCGCCGCTGGCAAGTGATCTCGGTGGACATGATCGGAGAACTCCCCGAGTCAAAGGGTTACAATGCCGTGCTGGTCGTAGTGGATCGCCTATCCAAACACATCCATGCAATCCCAACGGTGACGACGGTGGACTCAGTGGGAATCGCGCGGCTTTTCCTTGAACACGTCTGGAAGCACCATGGCCTCCCAGAGGAAATCCTCAGTGACAGAGGGAGCGCCTTCATCTCATGCTTCTCGAAAGAACTCGCGGACCTCCTCGGCGTCAAGCTCACCCCTTCGACCCCTTATCACCCCCAAACGGACGGGCAGACGGAACGAGTAAACCAAGAAGTGGAAGCCTACCTTTGGGTATTTGTCAACCACCGCCAAGATGATTGGGCGGACTGGCTCCCACTAGCGGAGTTTGCCTATAACAACCGCGTCCACTCCTCCACCCGCCGTACCCCTTTTGAGCTCGATACCGGCCAACACCCCAGGATGGGGACAGAGCCCACACGCACATCTGAGGTGGAAGCTGCTGATGCCTTCTCGTCGAGGATGATGAAGATGCAGGAAGAGGCGAAAGCGGCGCTGGAGCACGCGGCAGACAAGATGGCCCGCTACTATGACCGGAACCGCAAGGCGGCCCCTACGTACCAAGAAGGCGACCGGGTCTGGCTCAGCACCCAGAATCACACAACCGATCACCCAACCAAGAAGCTAGACCATAAATGGACTGGCCCCTTCACGATCGTTAAAGTCGTCTCCCCCGCTGCCGTCAAACTCCGGCTCACCGCCCGACAAAGGGGGATCCACCCAGTTGTATCCGTGACGAACATCAGACACACTGTAGAATGCACGGATCGGACGACCCGGAATGGAATCGGAGACTAGCAGGAAGGACTGGCTCAGCGACTCAGGCGGAGGCTGTGCATGCGGTTGTCCTAGGGTCCTAATTCGGATTAGCAGAGGAAAGTCTCTTGGGGATTCATGTCGATTCGACTGAGGTACAAGTACTAGTACATGTATATAAGATCCGGAATCAAAGAACAAGGGTAGGACGAAAGGAGACAAAGGGAGATGGAAAGAGGAACAACACCGAGGGTCAAGTGTTTGACTCAATGGTGTTTCCCAAAGGAGGAATGAAGGGCCAAGGCCCAAGGAGGAAGGAAGGAGGTTGGGAGTGGGGAATGGCTAGCTGACTGAATAGAAAGGAAGCAGCAGCCCAAATAGGAATGAGGGAGAATAGCGGAATTGAAATGGACAATGCAATAGTTGCAAGGTCCGGAGTAAGTCCGGAAAGTCCGAACTCGGAGGTTAAACTCCGGAATATTGGCAAAGGTAATTAAATGGAATGAGCTAACCAATACAATGGGTATAAGCGGAGGTGGGGTCAAAGTCCGAGGTCGGAGCTAAGACCGGAGGTTCCGGGGACGAGACGTGAACGGGATACCGGAGCGGAGGTCCGGAGTCGGGAGCATAGGTTTTGCGTACTCGTCTGGAAGGTGTCGAGGTTGGGGTCGGACCCGGAATGTTCCGGAGTCGGACCGAAGTGGTGTCCGAGCCGGAGGTGGGATAACCTCTGGAGTCGCAAGGAGAAGGTGACGGAAGGGAAGTAGGCTCCGGAAGTCGGAGTTCGGAGTTCCGGAGCCGGAGCGGAGGTCAGGATTGTATGGATATGACACACACCACCCTGATGAAATCGCAGAACGCCCCGCTGACCCCCACCTGGGCCCAGACCTCGTAGATGGAGAAGAGGAGTATGAGGTCAAGAAAATCCTGGACTCTAAGTGGCTATGCCGAAAACTCCGATCCCAGGTCCATCCCCTGGAACGGTGATCACTTGGAGTTCGTCATGGAACACGAAGACGACCCGGACTTCCTCTTCGTCTACTCCGATGGGTCCAAGACAGATGAAGATGGCCAGAGAGTCACAGGCTACGGTGTAGTAGGGTACTCAGCAGGCGATATCGTCTTCGAAGGGAACGGCGCTATAGGAAGCAACGTGCAGATGAGCTAACAAAGGAAAGTGCCCACATTAGAACAGACAGGCCAGGTTACCACTCACTCGCATATGTAGAGAGCCTACACAGAGCAGAGATGGAAGAAGCGTGGAAGGCATGATCGTCAACGGCACCCGATCCCCCCAGCTCCGGATTCCATCTAGCGAACCATATCGCCCCAACACTCAGACTCACCCTGAGGTTTTAAGTCACTAGACCGAAAAACCTTTAGCAGACTAATCCAGTTTCGGACATGCACACATCGGGGAATACTACCCGCACTTTTAGCTATTAGCGCGATGTTGGGCTATCCTCCAACCAGGCAACATCTGGATCCACATGTTCAAAACCTCATCTTTCTCGTTACTAACTTCGTCGGTATCAAGCAATTTTACCATGTCCCTGGCAAGTCTTCTACATTGGCACCCTTACCACGAAGCTCATCTCCAACGTCCCTAACAATTTCCCAGTGCTGAGCCATGTCCAAGGTTTAAGGAGGTGGTACCTTCTTGTCGATGTGCAGTTTAATGATGTCGATCTCCACCAAGCATTTGAAATTTTCTTTCAATAGCACCTCCGAACGAACTGCTGGCAGAATTTTCGAGGTGGCTGTCAGTGTGCATCTGACAGAGTGAAGATGTGCATTTACAGATATTCCAGGGGTCAGCATTCCCGATCCTGGGTCGCTGCTGGTGTCCTATGCATGGGACCCAAGCTCATACTGAGCATAGAGGTGAGTCGAACGCCAAACAGAGATGCAACAGGAAGTTGAGGAAGGGTGGTGGGCCCAGGCGGTGAGATACCAGTTTGCACATTTCTTTGTGAAGGAACCACTGTTGCTTCCATGGAAGGATAAGGCTGTTCACATTATAGACAAGGGCAGCGCTGCACTGCAGAGAAACTATAGAACACGACGATTCAATGAATGGTTGTACCCCGAAGCACTTCCAGCAGTTGCAATGTGAGGTAGATACTGCATGCTGCCTACCCGTGATTGGGAGCCTAAATTTGTACCTCAGCATTTACGATGTCCACCATGTGCCTTTCCTTCCCCCCTCCTCCAGCAGTGCATGGAATGAGTCGGTAGTCAACTTCTGCATGTAACAGCCCATGGAATATGTCCACATAATTTACTTTTCTGCACGCACACTTGACGGTTCTGATTAGTGACGTCCCAATATGTACAAGATTGGCCCGCTCATGAAAGTAACTAAGGTTATTCTTTGTGTGAATCCATTGACATTTCCGCTCTGAGCCTCTGAACTTCATCCTCCAACTCCTTGCATCTCACCGCAAGCCTTAGATAGTCGGTTAAGTTGACCTCACAATATGAACACTCTGAAGTCTCTCCGATGGCAGGCAAATGCTCGAGGGCTGAGAGTGGATCATCTTCATCAGGTGTCTGTAACGCTCTTGGACGCCTGACACTTGGGGGCATGAGCAGTGGCACTGCACCGATCCCCCTGTTTTTAAGATTTCTTAGTACCTCACCTTACCTGTAGTCTAGTCGTCATGGCGTCTTACCCCCTGAGTGCCTGAGAGGTCATTGAATGGGGAGCAGATGCTGGCTCTGAGGGTGCAGCAGGTAGGGAACCGGGTGTGGGTCCCATCTCTCTTTATTCGGTGCCATGTTAGCCAACGTATACTATCCAATATAATCCATATTGATCTCGTACTCTCTGAGTTTTGCCCGACGATTGCGCTGTTGAAGTGTATTAGCCACCCGGTGCTCATCTGCTGTTGAGTACAATTGAGGACGTCCATGACCACATTTCTCCTCGAAATCGGCAGAGACAGTATTGGTGCCCTGTGATACATTGTTTCAGTTGCCAGCGACCCACCAGAAGGGGCTGGTAGCACCTGGGGATTATTCATGACAGGTCATGTAAGGATTAAGTGGAAGTGTGACAAGCCAATACATTATACAACACCTCCGTGTTCTCTGTTCGAGCAGCATCACCACGATAGCGAACCCATTTGCCTCATGATCAAAGGTCAGCATACTCTGGTGTCACTGAATTTTACCGCTGAACATTGCTAATAATTTCTACCCTGTGGCACTTGTGGTGTTGGATCTCCAACACTCTCATCGTTGAACGACGGCCACACAATTACAACGCAAATGGTGGGTATCCTTCCTCGCTCCAGCAGCGTTGAGGTAGCCTACGTTTGTTTCAATGTAAGTGCTGTTCACCTTTCGTTCATGTTGTCTGAACGATTGAACTGATAAAACTTTGCTTTTGCACAATGCACTACACATGGGCTTCTCAGCTGTTAGCGGAACGGGGGTAAACTCCAGTGAGTGTCAATTCTCATTATCCTGTTCTACAACACTCATTTAAATCTGTGTCGAAATAGCAACATCAGAACCTGCCACCATCCCAGTACTGCTCCATTCAGGACCGTGACGTTTCTGGAAAGCGGAGGGCCCTAGTGTCCCCCTGCCACTCCAGAGATATCAATCGATCGCAGATCTAAACACCCAGGTCTTGTGGAGTTCTTACACGCTGCAATACCAGGGTGCGACAGGTCTTGCCGTTTCTCTGCTCCGTTTCTCTTCCTTTTTCTCTGCTTCGTTCTGTGCCTCGGACACCAGTGAACCCGTTATCGATCCAAGGACTCAGGTCGTGTGGAGTTCCCACAGGCAGCAGTACCAGGGTGTGGCACATCTCGCCGTTTCTCTCTGCTCCATTTATCTTCCCCCCGTCGTCTGCTTCGTTCTGTGCCTCAGGTATTGGTAAACCCATTGGGCCCTGCCAGGCCATCGACACTGTGAGCCTCGTCGTTCCGATCTTAAACTTCCCTCACTGCTCAGGTAGCACATATTGGTCCAACCGCCTGCAGACGTCCTATCGCCCTCCCCAATCCTCCTCATGGAGCTCATAGACCCCAGTGTTAACTTCTATTCCATTGTCATTACCACTCCCCAATCACAAAGTCAGTAGCGTACAGATTTGCAAGCATGAGCTTTGGGGACGTCAGAACCTCGCCTATTCCTGTCCCAAACACCAATCGCCTTTGCCAAGGATGGAGATTAAATCCTGATGGCGTGTTCTATATTCATGCACTTGAATCACTTGCCTGGGATGGGCTGCGACGCCCCTTGCGCCTCCTTTCGGGACAGGTGCGGATTGCATGGGTGGAGGAAGTGGTTAGTCCTGTTGTCGATCACTCGCTGCATGGGACATTTGAATGGAGCAAGCTATTGTTACCGCACTCAGTTCATTATTACCATGCTGTGTTCGAAATATTCTTCCTTCCTTCCGAGTCCCTCACCCACCCTAGTCAAGCACTGCTTCAAGAAGCCATTAATTCATGTATACAAGCTGAGCCCAAACTTTTCCTGCCAGAGTATGACCAATTTCCCAATGGGGCGTGGCGGTATTTGCGGTGTTTTGTTCACCCCATGCCTCCGCCAATGCCGTCACCCGAGCCCATCCCTTTCCCATATCCCGGTGGAAAAGAAGGCTGGACTGTAGGAAAGACCTTGGGTGAAGTCTTCATCAGGCGACTAGACCCGTCAAAATGGTCAAAAGCTATGAAGAGGGCAACAATGGACACCAATCAGGCCATCGCTGAATGTGTCTGTGTGCAGCACTGGGAGCAGCACCTCGCAGAGAATATCTCACATGGGACGTCAGGATCAATAGGTGTAGGTGTATTGCATGAGCTTGCCTCTGCATTCGCTGATTTCCGTTATCGTGAACGTTTCGAGCCTGCTGGACCCACATACCCTCCTGGGGCAGTTCGGTTCTTTTGTCTATGCACTTTCATCCAAGATGGGTATATCCTGCTGCAATTCAATGGCCATCCATTTCGACGCCCGGAAGATGATGACGGCATCTCATCCGATCCAGAAGAGTTCTATAGTGAAAATGATTGGGATGTAGAGGAAGCGGAAGATTCTTCCACATCAGCCTCAGAAATGCGAAACCCCCATGAGTCGCTGTTGCTGCACACCTCCCCCTTCCGCTCTCAGCGCAGTGGGAGGGGGCATTCGCTGCGTCCAGAAACTTCCAAACACCAGGCAAGCTCGTGGCGTTGCTGAAGCCCTTTACCTCTCCGATGCCCTCGTTCAACAGAATGAGGGGCATCTTATTCCTTTCATTCCATAGACCGTCTAGACTGGCAGCCCTATGGACCGGATCACCGTACAACTGCACCAGAGTGTCATCGCTTTCCTTCACGTCCTCCCATGGGAGACATTCAGTTTGGTGAAGCCCAAACCCCATTCTCCCATACCTTGGCCCCAATCTCCCACCCCCAACGAGAATCCTTGCCTCCCCCACTTCCTCTGCCATCCTCCTATGAGCCGCCATTGAGGCCGGGGCAGCACTGCCAGATATTGCACGCTTCACTTCAGTCGAGCAAATCATGGTGCAGGATGGAGGGACAATATCTCTTCTCAGCAATGCCATGATCATTCGAGGTATGCAAGGTGTATACAGGAGTGTTTGTCTGTTATTCTCACACTGCATGGTGATATCCACAGGTGCACCTCCTTTACCTGTTCCACCACTCTCCCCTGCTCCTGAAGCTGGAGACCATGTAAAGAAGTGGAGAACGGAATTATCTGGTAAGCTGTCTGCTCCTTTCCTCTGTGGGGTCGTTTCTGTCTAATCTGGAGACAATATCTTAGAAGGCACTGTCAACCGAGCTTATCGTCAGACACTGATCTGCATTGTGGGGACGAATACTTCTCATATTTGCCCCTACAATGGATCATATGCCTCCTGGGTGCATGCTGCACCTTTGGCAAAGACGAGTCTCTTGAACGTCTCTCCAAAATACCATGAGTTCATGGACACTTCCCAGCGACCGGTTAGCACGATCCACTCCACCCACACCTTGCGCTCATTGAGCGTCATCGCCCCTTCCAGTACATTCCGCTGCCAATCCTTAACATCGATCTACTTCGTTCTCCCGACGGTCTGAAGTGGCTTCCAACATCTGAGTGGAGGGAGAAGATCATTGGCACGCAGTCCACGGTAAAGCAACTTCTTCGCCACGTTCAAGACATAGTCTCCCATCTCTGCCATGCAGAAATCCTTCCCTCTCACCGTGAAATTATGGCTATACTCAAGCGCGAGTCAGAAGTCCACCTTGACAAGCTGTTCCACTCCCAGATGATTGCGGAATCTGAAAACTACCATCATGACACCGTTATCGAGATTGAACGCTGGATTGGAGAGCTATGAGGGCATCTTCGCTATTGCTACCTCGTTTCTCTTGATGCATGTGCCATATTGGGTGGTGTGGAACTTCCGACATGGCCAGTTCAAGAGTTAGTCCTTGGGACCATCTTTGACACCTTGGAGGGCATTCACGCTGAGGTCCATGACCCCACCCTTAGTGCCTCTGCCTTGGCCTTTGCCCTCACTCTGGAAAGGTGGGGGGTTCCCCATTGGAGGGTGGAGTATGGCGAGAAACGCTTTGCAGTGTCTCGGTCATGTCCACCTTTACTTGACCAGGTGGTGGAGCTTGCTCTTCAATGGGAGATATGGAACTGTGCTGAGTCCAAGGATCCAATAGGCGCTGTGAAGGGGGACATCGTTGTAGGATTTGACTTTGTTGTTACGGCAACTGCTACATGTACCCGCCCACAGCAATTCTTGTTTGCGGCCCCGAATGACGATCACTCTGCCCAGCACTTTGTCATGGAGCAATGCCTCCAAGCGCTTGCCCCCAACGGAGATCCTACTTCCTTCGAACACTTCTCCAGCATGATGAAGAACATCCTTCAGGGAGTCTGGCTTGGGTTAAAATATGAAGAGGGTCTGCATCGTAGTACAGCCTTGGAAGGCAGGAAATGGAAGAACATGAGAATCCCATTCCCCATTGGCGCACACGCTCCACTCATGGCAGTGTTTGTCAAAATCCCTTTCTCGTACTATCACCCTCAACACCCCCTTCCATCACCCATCCAAACAGTGCCTGTTATCAGTGTTCCCTTGTCATCTGCCACTGGCCCTGCCACCACCAACACTTGGCTAGGTATATCCATATGCCTGTCAGGCCCGGTACTGGAGCTATGCGGTGATCTGGATGCAGTGAAGCAGTGGGGGGTTCTTGCCTATCGTGAAGTCCGTGCCCCAACAGTGAATCAGAAAGTGGATGGTTGGGATGGGTCGACACACTGTCTCAACCTACTCTGCAAGACACAAGACAGTGCTCACAGTCTCAGGCGATACCTCCAAGCAAGATTCCCAGGTGCGACTATCAGAGATATTGCCATGCATGACCATACACCCAGTGGATACATTGGGGTATATGAGCTTGGATTTGTTGGTGAGGTCTTTTCTTGCAGGCTCAACCAAACCGTGATCCAGACTCTCTTGGACCGTGCACCCACCCTGCTAATCCCTCAAGGCCCAGACACCTTGACAACTGAGACAATGGAGCTGTGGACCCGGATGTACTCCCAAGACCTCTTTGAATACAATCGCTTCCGGATTATGACAACAACATCCAGCCAAGGACGTTTACCGTTCAAAGTGGTTGAGGTGACCTTCAAACAAGACATGCTCGAAAAGATGTGCCTGTGCAGGCCCTTTGAGTTGAGCGAAGAGGAACGTTTTGCTCTCCTTCGTTTCTGCCTTATCCTTTGTCACCTTCGCCGCTTCAAACGCGCATTCCGTCAATGAATCTACCCCTCAGAGGGTTCTATCTATCCTGGTGTTGTTTGTTTCATTGCCGGTTCTGCAAGGCAACTTTTTGAGGGCATCGAACTACGAACAAACGAGATGCTGAAGAGGTCAGGGAACCCGTCTCAAGAGGAGTTTGAGTCCATTTGTTGGCAGCCAAAAACTGGCCTCTTTACACTCAAAGTGGCAGAGAATCCACCTGCTCCCCTAAACAAGCCGACCGCAGAGGAACTATGGGGGTTGTAGTTGGAGAGACATGTAACATTATGCAGGAGGGGGTTGTGGCTGCTGTTCATACGTTTCATACGTGGTCTACCATTTGTAGCACCTGCACCCTGTTCTTGATTCTCACTATGCAAAGCATATGTTCTTATCTACTGCAGTGTGAAACGGACTTATATGGACGTCAGCATGTGGTAACTTGTATTGCGACTCTTGGGCTGGTGTATCGCCCTCTCTGTAACTCGGACCGCTCTGTATTTGTGTTCACATTTACAGTATCCATCTTACATTTGTCAAGCTTACAAGTTGCACAGCTATGAGTTAAATAATGACCTGTGCGATACCTCCATCGTAAATAATATCTATTCACGCTTTTAGCGATTAGCGTAATGTTGGGCTATCTTTCAACCAGGCAACATCTGGATCCACATGTTCAAAACCTCATCTTTCTCGTCACTAACTTTGTCGGTATCAAGCAATTTTGCCATGTCCCCAGCAAGTCTTCCTACATCGGCACCTTTACCACGAAGCTCATCTCCAACGTCCCTAACGATTTCCCAGTGCTGAGCTGTGTCCAAGGTTTCAGGAGGTGGTACCTTCTTGTCGATGTGCAGTTTAATGATGTCGATCTCCACCAAGCATTTGACATTTTCTTTCAATAGCACCTCTGAACGAACTGCTGGCAGAATTTTCAGTGCAGCTTGCCACACCGAGTGTTGTGCACATTTGAACAAGGTGTCAAAGGTGGCAGGCTCACCACCCGTGCTTGTTGTGGAAGATGGCGTCTCCGAGCGTGCCCAGGGTGTTGGCCCTTCGTTCACAGTGAGATATGTAATCCCATTATTATTCGATCCTGACATTGATTGCCCTCTAGCTGGAGTGCTGTTGGGGGTTGGATG